AAAAAAAAAAAAAAAAAAAAAAAATCCTAGTTATCAGATGGTTAATGTGGCCTCTGCCCCAGTTGTTTCTCTGGACTACTTATAAAATGTAGATACTTACCACCATTTTGCTGACCTCACTAGTTTTGCAGGAAAGTGACTTGAAATTAAAAAAGTAAATCAAATATCTGAGGTTTGGTATAAATTTTAAGGCTCCATTTCAATTTTTTTTGGTAGCAATACCAAGATTGATCCTAGGGCCTTTGCACACCAGCTATTTATTTTTTATTTTTTATTTTGAGACAGGTACTAACCTATTTATTTTGAGACAGGTACCCGAGCTGGGGTTAATTTGTGACCTCCTTGCCTCAGCCTCTTATTAGGCTTGGATTATAATCGTGTGACATCAAGCTCAGTTGGATTTGGATTTGGTGCTGTATCTAAAAAATTATCACCCAGCTTTTTAAATATATGCAGTCATGTAAAGTTACACAACACTTTTTTGGTACCCCAGAAAGCTTTTTCGTATCCCTTTCCAGTCAGTAATCCCCTACTCAGAAATAACCACTCTGTTTACTTCTGTTCCATACATTCATTTTCCTGTTCTTGAATTTCATATAAGTGCTGTACTTTTATGCATCTAATTTCATTTGAAATTCCTGTACCTATGTGCTGGTGGACATTTGCACTCTTAATTTGGTTATATACTGAAGAGCAGCATTGCAGGTTCATAAAATGGAGGTTTGTTCTGCTTTATGTTATACTTACAAAGAATTTTCCAAGTAATTGCATCAGTTAAGTTTTACCAGCAATGTGTGAGAATTCAAAGAGCTCTATATATTTTTTTCTTTTTTCTTTTTTTTTTTTGATACAGGGTCTCACTATGTAGTTGAGTCTGACCTGGAACTCCCTATGTAGCCCAGGCTAGACTCGAATGCACAGGGATCCTCCTACCTAAGCCTCCCTAGTGCTGGGATTACAGCCATGCACCACCAAGCCCGGCTAATAGCTCTATATTCTTAATGTTGGATGTCAGTCTTTTCAATTTTAGCTGTTCTGAAGGACTTTTGCATATGTCGCTGTGGTATTAACTTGCATTTCTCTGATGAAAAATAATGATGACCAACTATGTATTTCTTGGGCATTGGCATAATTTCTTCTGTGACATGTAGGTTCAATTCTTTTGTCCTTTTCTTAAAAGCCCCATTTTGATTTTTCTTATTGATTTCCAACAACTTAAAACTGTGTGTATTGAGTGCATATAAGTCCTTTGTTGGATATGTATAGAGTAGATATAAGTCCTTGGTTGAATATTTATTTTATTTTTTTCTCTGTCCTAAGATTGAACTTTTCTCTCAAGTTTTCTTTTTTTTAAATCTCACTGAGTTTATTGGTACTTTTTAAGTATACAGTACAGTTACATTCATCATTGGGATCTTGTACCTTTACATGACAGGTCTTGGTTCTCTTTTTTTCCCCCATTCCCCTCCCCTCCCTTCACCCCTTCCCTATTTACAAAGACTTTGTTTGCATTTTTTCATTTTCTCACATCTTTTCTTTTCCCTTATTTCCTTTCCCCTTCCCTTCCCACTTCCCCTACACCTTTAGATAAGTGAAAGTTATTAATTTAGTGAAATTCAACTCATTAATCTTTTCTTTCATAGTTAATGCTCTTTATGTCCTGTAAAAAAAAATCTTTGCCTACCTAAGATTATGAGGATTTTCACTTGCAGTTTGATCTACACACATTATTGTTTTATCTTTTAATTGATTTTATACTATTTTATATTTTATATTTTAAATTAGTATTGTATTTGATGTGAAGTAAAGGTCATGATTCCACTGATTTGTCTGTCCTGGTACCATTATTATGCTGTCTTAATGTACATAGTCATAAGGTTAGTATCTTAATATCTTTTAAAAATTTTGTGTTTTCAAAATTAACATGTTATTAACATGTAATATTAATAGGGTACCATGTGCTATTTCAGCACATGCATACAGTTGCATTCATCAAAGTAATTAACATTTCTCTCTACTTTTATTTATTTATGTTTGAAAATTTGAACTTCTGTCTTCTAGTTCTTCATGATATTCATGATGGGTTTTATTAACTATTATCATCTCATTGTGGCATGCAACACCAGAACATCTTCCTTCTGTGTTTTGGTGTCATTATGTAACCTTGTTTTACCCTCCCCCCCACTACCTGTTACAGCCTCTAGTAATCACAGTTATACATTTAACTTGACTCTTGAAGCTTCCATATGTGTGTGTGAGAGAATATGCTGTATTTATCTTTCTGCGACTTGATCTTGATCTGACAGTACTATATATCCTCTAGCTTTATTCTTCAAGATATTTGGTTATATTAAATCTTTTCTGTATCCTTGTAAGTTTTAGAATCACTTTGTCTAAAATGCCCTTTGAAAGTGGTTTTGATCTTATTGATTCAGTAGACGTCCCTGTGTCCCTCTAACTTTGAAATCTAGGTGACCTTTTGAAGTGCATACCAGTAATGTATTTGTGTAATAACCTTCTTTCTAGTGTGAAGGTGGCTCTAAGTTCCAGAAGACTGTGAGAGATTTCATTCTGCCTCTCCTGTCCAGGTGCCTGCCTAAAACTCAACTCATTTCAGGTAAGAAAAACTTACTTGCATGTCTCAACTTTCAATACCAATATGCTACTAAAACTATGCTGATTTCTACTTTTCCTTGGTAGCCTCCTTCTACTTTAGGGCCAAGCCACATCTTTAGCCTGTGCCCCGAATTAGCAAATGCCAGAAGGAAGAAGACATGCCTGTAACTATTAGCGCACTTAGATAGGGTTCTTCGGTACTTGTACATATTTTCATTCTTACTTCCCCATCCCCCTCCCTTTTCCCTCACCCTCAGTATCCTGGAACTCTTCCAATTTATAAGAGATCTGTCCCCAGATACCCACATTATATATCATAAACATGATCTAAGAATAATAATAACAAGAAAAATGTAAATGGGAAAAGGAGATCTAGAGGCAGAGGGAGGGAGGTAGAGGGTAAGGGGATTAAAAAATGAAACAAGGTGTTCTGTGTACGTATATCTACTCCCCAAGATGAATGCAAACTTCATGCAGTACAAACATGCACTAATAAAATTAAAATTATAAAGCCAAACATTTTAAAAAAGAAATGGCTCTATGCTCTCTGAAATCTTAATACATTATGTCCTTGTTCCACATCTTGATGATATACTTAAACCAGGTGATTAATCAATTTATCTTTTTTGGGGGGGTGTTTTTTTGTTGTGGCAGGAGTGTTCCCAATCTATTTGATAGCAGAAGAACAGATAGCATTTTACAGACATAACTTTGATCTTCTCATCCATCTTGGCTCTATCATAGGTGAGTAGTTTCTGAGTGTTTTAACCCATTTTTAGGTTGGGGAAGGGCAGGTAATGGATACACCCCTTAACTTCTCTGTTATAGACAATGGGGACTCCATTGGGGATTGATCCAGCTCTCTCCATCCCTCTGCTTTAGTAACATTCAACTTAGAATTCAGTCCATTTCGAGTGCCAGAAATGTGATTAACATTCACAATTCTTTTCCTATTTAGGAGTATGAGATGTAGGAACTGCCCCATTATAGCACACTTGCCTACAGTTGTAGGCACACCTGAATTTGTATTCTCTTACATAGCAGTTTGGAGGTTAGACATCCAGCTCTGCTTCTTTACTTACCATGTGACCATGGAATGTGTAACGATGGGCAAGTTACATAATCCTTCCGATCCTCAGTTTTTCCACCCATAACTTCACAAACTTACTTTATTGTGAGGATTAAATATACTAATATATAAAAGTGTGATTCTCTCATTGTTTGACACAGTAGTTCTTCCATAAATATACCACTAGATAATTAGTTAGAACATGCAATCTCATCTGATACATAGTTTTTGAGGCTTCAGATTATGTTTGTTTACTTTTGGAGGTTGTACAATTTACATACAGTGAAATGTACAGATTTTAAGAGAGTATTTAAACGTTATTTCTGTCACCTCAGAAAGTTCTCTTATACCTTCTCTAAATCAGTCCCCATCCTCCTAGATTCCACATCTATTCTGATATTTTTCCACTGTAGATTTTTTTTCATCTTCCTGACTTATATACGAATGGAAGCACACAGTATGTATTTTTTGTGGCTAGTTTTTTCATTAAGTTCAGTGTTTTCAACATTTTTCCATGTCCTTGTTCTTATCAGTAGTACCATTTTTATTGGTGATTAGTATCACAATTATGAACACACCAGAATATTTTTTATTGTCTTCTTGTTGGATACTCGGTCTTCTTTTTTTCTACTTTTTGGGCTATTATACATAAAGCTGTTACAATCATTTTTATAAAGTCTTTTTGTGCACTTCCATTTCTCTTGGGTAAATACCTAGGAGTAGGATTTCTGGGACATAGCTAGATACATGCTGGTTTTATAAGTAATTGACAGATGTTTTTCCAAAGAAGTTGTACCATTTTATTTTTCTACTACCCGTGTGTGAAAATCGTGGTTGTTCTGTATCTTTGTCAACAGTTAGTGTGGTCAGTCTAATTTTAGTTTATTACTTGTTCATCTTTCCTTGTCAAAATGTCTGTTCATAGCTTTTACCTATTTAAAAAATTGGGTTGTTTGTAGTTTTTTTATTAATTGTAGAGGTTCTTATATACTATGACTATGATTTTTTAGATACTGTATATGCCTTGTTAATATTTTTCTCATTCTGTTGCTTCTTCATTTTATCAACTGCATTTTTATGGGTTCATCTTTTTACTCACTGCTGTTACCATGTATGGTTGAAGCATGATTATATTTACTGAGTGAGTATGCTAAAAATTGTTCTCCTTCCCAGCCAGGCCTGTAATTCCAGCCCTCAAGTGGCTGAGAAAGGAGGATTGCTATGAGTTTGAGGCCATTCTGGGCTACATAGTGAGTTCTAGGCCAGCCTATACTATGCAAGACCATGTCTCAGAAAAAATAACAAAAAACCCGAATTGTTCGTCTTCCCTCATGCCCTTTTTTCCCTTTCACTGAAGGACGTGGATTATTTACTACATGTGGCATGCTTCTCTGCCTTAGCATAGAGTGGAAAAAAAATAGACAGTTTTCTTAATCTTACAGCACATTTTAGTCCCTGTAAGTCCTGATGGGGTGGGAGACAGAAAAGATAAATAGGAATAGATGAGCTAGTTATAAGTGCCATAACACAAAATTACCATGAATACTTAGTGAGAAATGGTAGGATTTTGGAGCAAAAAATAGAATGATCTGACAGAACTTACTCTAATTGGAGATACTATATAACTGAGTGAATCAAAATAGGTCCTATGGGGACCAGTGAGCCCCATGTTTAAGTTGCAGACCAACTGGCCAATGACTTACTGTACTCTGGTAACCATCTAAGTAGTACAGTCAGCTGAGGGTGAAGTCTCTGGCTTACTGGGCCCCAGTATGGTTAGAACTGCTGAAAACTAGGCAATAATAGGCTTGAAGGTATTTTAAAAGAGTAAGATGGACAATTGCTTCCTAAGATTCTCCTCTAGGAAAAGACTGACTGAGGTCAGAGAAAGACAAACAGCCCAATTTATGGCATGGCTACCCAGAAATTTAATGTGTAGATATGCTGAATAAAAAAGTGGCCAAAGGTATATAGCCACACTGATCAGCTGTAGACTATAGAAATATGCTCTAATAAATGGAAAATAATAGACTAGTCTGTTACTGAAAAACAGTGAAAGGAGATGTGAAAATAAATTAAAGATTTTAGCAATTCAAGTAGGACATGAATTATCTCATTAGAATGGAAAGACGGAATTGCCCATTTGAATGAGAGAGGAGAAAATCTGCCTCCTCCAGAAGGAGTATAGGCCATGCAGCCTTGGGTTCCAACTCAGTTCCTTTTTCAGTTCAACCTAAGGTTATAAAAAGGACATGAGAAACCTCAGGGTGTATGGACATAAATGTAGTGGGTAAGTATATGAGAAAGTGGGAAAAAACCATGAATTAAACAAAAAAAGTGAGTAGACAATATGAGCTATGTTGTTACGAATAACCTTTTATATCCTCAGTCAGTTTAAAGGGGAATGAATCCATTTGAAAGGCACGGCAGACAAATGTGGCAGGTAGCTTATATTGGATTTAAAACAATATTGTCTTCAAGAAGTGGGTATGCAGAGCTCGCTAGACATGCAGATGAAAACAGTACATCAGGGCTTTAGACAAAGGTGGAAGAACTAACAGCTAGATATAGAAAATAAACACTAAATTGAAAACAACCAAGAAACTAATTTTATAACTGCAGTTGTTCAAAGTTTGGCAAAGGACAGAATGTGGGACTTTCATTTAACGTGCACTACCAGGATTTAGCACAATTAAAAGTTTTAATAAGTGGACTATTAAAAACATATAAAACATTTAGTAGCTCCAGCTATAAATGACAATGAGGTAAAGGTGCTAATCATGACAGAGCTAACTGAAAGACAGTGAATTCATGTCTTTCCTCAACAGAGATTTTCAGGAGATACAAGTAAACTACCCGTGTTCCTTTGTTCTCAAATTCCCTAACAAAAGATAAAGACCATGAGAAATTCAAAGGTAAGTGAGGTGGTACATCATCAAAAAGTATTAAAAAATGACAAGCACTAGCTACAGATTCCCTTTCAATCCTATGGACAACTCTTGATAGTGGTATCCTATAGACAGAAACTGTAGGATTAAATAAAGCTGAGGGATGCTAATCTTTGCATTTCTCTTTTTTTCTATTATTAGGTCTGCTTTGCTGTTTTCTCTTGGCTGTGACATTCTGATGGTCATTATAATAACAGTTTACCACTAGTACAAACAAAAGTACTATTTGTATATTTTGTGAGAGGTTCACCAATACCATCCAAAAGTTCTGATCTTCTGTACTTGATCACCCTCATATTTATGTCAACATCTTCACTTCTCATCTAAACCAACGAAAGAACAGTTGTTGATCTCCCACAATCTACTGTCATCACGACCTCATTCGCTACAGCCTTTAGTAATACTTTATCTGAGAGAATTTAAGCATGCAGACTGTGTCAGTTCCCGCACTGGTTGCTGGGCTTATTGATTGTATAGCCCAGTTAACAAGAATTGCTGAAGAGATTTTACACTTTATTTCACAAGGGCAGCCATTTCCTTGTGTAGAGCAGGATAACAGAGAAGAACAGGCAGAAGCAGAGGAGGCTCCTCCAGAGGAAGCCCCACTACCAGATCTTGCTAATTTCTCTGACTTAGAATCAATACTTTCACTAAGAGAAGATGATGAGCTAGTCCTTGATGTAGATCAAGCTTTGTTAGATATAGGTGATTTAAATGAGGATTTACTGCCTGATATCAACAATAATACAATAAGGGATTAAGTCCCAGGTTTTCCTCACCAACATGTGAAAACCGATCATTTCTGTTTCGAACATATTCTAATTTTTTTGGACATTAGCTGCACATTTTCATTGTTAAAACTTTTAGAACAAGTAAGATTTATTTTTCTTCCAACAAAGACTGGTTTCTTTGTTGTTATTCAGAAAGTTCTGACTTTAGCGATGTGGTTTTTCCATTACTTTTTCTCCTGTTCTTCTGTTAGGATTTCTGATGATAGGCACACATAATAGCAAAGAAAAGAATCTCTTTCAACTTAACAATGGACTGAAACCTTGGGGCCTGTCACATCTGGGGACCCAATTTCACTGTTCTACAGTGAAAAACAAAAAGGGAATAACCCCCAGATGATATTATAGTGACTATCTTCACATTAACAGGACAATTCTAGGATATTTGAATTTGAAAATATATAATCCCTTACTGGATCTTTAAGAGAAGATTTGTCAAACAGGATGCAATAGTAGACTAAGGGGGATAATTCTGAAAGAGTAGCATCTACCAGATAATAAAAGTAAAGAAGGCTATTCAGATAAATGTTGCAAAGGAGAAACCCTTGAAAAAGCTGGAGCTAAGAGGTGCCAATGTAGGACTATCCCCACAAATGCTGGACCACATTGCAACTACTTTGCAGTATTGTTTTCCAAATAGAAATGGCACATTATACCAAATAACAAAAGAGAAGTACTAGCCTGCCTAGACAAAGCCCTACAAAGACTATTCAGCAGTGGAAGATGAACACCTATCACAGAAGAGTAGAGATGATGGTCCACAAAGGAGAGTGAATAGAGTCTTGTTGCATGTAACTGAATTTAAAAAGAATACTTGATAGGCTTGCTACAGTAGACATGCTACAGCTTCAACCTAACTATATATACCAGGAGCTGAAAATGCAGTAGTTCGAGGACTCCCGCATCAAAACAGGGAACAAATGTGAAGGAAATTCACTGATTATACTAATTCCACACCAAAGAGTCCATTTCACTTCTAATTGGAAAAATAGCTATCCTTCAGACAGGCCCATGGACATTATGGCCTGCCTTTCTAGAGACTGGTCTTTGCATCTCATGGCGTGGCTAACAAACTAAGTAAATACATAAAGTCATACCATTGGCAGTGCAGTGTGTATAGATTGTGAGGAAGTGATATGTAGAAGGCAATCCACCCTGGTGTTAACCAGACCACACTGATTATATTATATAGAGTCCTAGAGCATATTACCGTCAAAAGGATTACAATGGCATTTAATACAGATGATTTCAGGGCTAACCACATGACAGGCTGCATCTAATATAAAGTGAGGTCTGCATACATAGACAGTGAGCTACCTTTAAAGATAAGTGCAGGAATCTAGAATATGTAATCAGGTCTTATTTGGATGAGCAGTAGTACGTGAAATTTGAGTCAGTTTGGACAGTGACTTCCAGTGATTTAACAAATTTAGTAAAGTGATAGTTAAACCCAGAAAAGCTACTATAGATCCTTTACAAAAATTAGAACCTATAGAGCCTATTTAACATATTAGTATGAACGACTTCTAGCTGTGTGGAAAGAATGATGAGAGTAGATAGGGATGGGAGAGATTTGGAGGGGAAACAAAAGCCACGAATGGGGAAAATAAAACTTCCTCCCTTAAACAATAGCTGTGAGTGTGAGTGGTTACAACCCATATTAGGCAGCAGAGTGTGAAACTTTGCTGCTACAATAACTGAACAAAGTGAACCTTACTTTGCCAGTGTATGGGGGTCTGTAGATAACATAGTTGTGTTCAAAATGGCATATAATTTTTGCACTGAAAAAGTATTGTGACAAAGCCTAAATAGAATAGTGAGAAAACAAAAAGAATCAACTTAGCCCTCCATCCCAATAGGAATAGTTTACAAAGATTACTGATAGCAGTTAACAAGGAAATCTATACACTTAATGATAATTTAGCATCCTTACACTGATTAAATGTAACAAAGGTCCTGATAAGAGTTGAAAAGATAGAATCTATGCTTTAATTAAAGCCTTAGGAGAGCCAAGGAAGATAGATACTCTCCATAGGGAATTTGGGCTTTAGGAAATTGGTCTTTAATTTGTCTCAAAATAAAATTTAAAGCATAAATACCTGGACAAGATCAGGAAACATCCAAAGAGAGACCACTAGTCTGCTATAAATTCTATTTGGTGAGCAATTTAGCTGAAAAAGACATGTTGCTCTTCACAGAAGGATAGCTATCTTTCCAAGCAGAACTCTAGAATGTGGTGTTCCTCAAATATGTTAGATACTGAAGCGTAGCTCTGTCCAAGTAGAACTCTAGACAATGGACTTTACTGAGACTGTCAAAAGTCTTAGGGTCTTATGATAAAACATAAGCAGCTCTACTCACTCAAGCAGGTCATTAAAGTAACATTAGGAGAAATGTGAATCGCTACTCCAGATCTTGAAAGAAGACTTGAACCAGCCTGCAAAACAGCTGCCAATATAGTCCTTAAGAGTCAAAGCAGGAAGATGCTACCGTTTCATTGTATGTGGATCTGGCCAGCCTCTTCTATACCAGGATTCCTGGAAAGGCTGCACTGTAATGGCCGCTTGGGACTAGACACGCTTCAGTGTTTGTTTTGACTGTAATTATATGTGTTTAAGAATTGTTAAGATATAATCCTACTCCATTTGGATTGTTTTATTAATATTTGCTGTGTGAAACAATTAGAAATAGGTAATAGTGATAAGAAGTAAGTTTATAAAATAAAATACTTAGGGATAAGAGCTGGGGGGGTGTTTTTAGTAGAGAGTAGAACATTAATAAATTTTTGAAAGTTATGCAACCATTTAGGGTAGAAAGCCATTATACAGGGTTTGTTCCTAAGCAGGTTTATGAACCAGCCTGCTTTTGTCTTAATGCAAATTAACTAACCCTTAGGCACTGATATAAATCTAAATACTCATTAGAAGAAGAAGTGTTAACTAACTTAGCCCCCTGATTGAATGCTGCTGATCGAAATCTTGAATCTCCTCCAGGAGAATGGAGAGAGTAGCTTGTCCTTTATCCAAACTAGCCCTTTTCTAGATTTTGAGATTAGATGCCAAAGCCAGTTCCTATATGGAATGGAAGAACCAAGAGGTAGAGGGGCTTATCCTTCTGAGACAAGCTTAAAGGTTTTAAACTCAAGGGGAATAAGATGGTAGATGGCAGTTAGGGAGTAGCACAAGTCTTCATTCGTATGCACTTTGCCTACATACTTGTGTCCTTATATGTGATGATTATTTCCAGTTATTAGATTATAATTGCTTATGGTCCTTATTAAATGTTGATCCAAACCCTTTTACTGTTTTAAGAGGTTTTAACTAATAAAATTTCATTGCAAAGCAAATAAATTGTGGTCATTTTAATTACCTAGTGGTGAATTTGGAGGCTACTAAATGGACATAAAAGAACTCTGCTTAACAGAAAGTAGTAGAGTATAATTAGGGAGAATTTTGCATCAGAGTCTGAACTTCTACTTCTGGCTTGTCAAATGATCTGTAACAAATCTCTGAACATACTCCTTTATCATTTGTAAAATAAGCATCACAATGATTTTTCTTATTATCTTCGATGGTAATAAGGAACAAAACCAGACAATTGTCAGTCTTTGGTATGTCTGACAGTGAATAGGCTACTATAAGCAGAATCAGGACTTTTCATGGATATCTAAAAAATATCTGAATGAGAACACTTGAAAGTCTATTTGACATGTAAAGATCATCCATTGGTTTTACACCCATTTTCTGAGAGATCAGAGCTTCTTTATTCTACTTCATGTCAAAGTTATATATAGTTTGGAATCAGCTTTTGTTTCATTATTAGGAGCTTATTTTTCACCAAATTAAATGTTTTGGGGAAGACTATTTGAGGTCTAGTAGGAATAATGAAGATAAAACAATAATGAAAAAACTCTTCAGGAAATACTAAGTTTATTCCATTTAAGGCTAAGATTTGTTTCTTGGGGGACTTATATAACTGAATGTTATTAACCCAACATGATCTAAACTGTGCTTACAAATCAACCAGCCAACCAAGAAAATTTCTAACAAAAATAAAAATAACTCTTAGTTCCTAAGGTTATTTGGGAGTTCTTTGTGTTGACAGATAACAACCATCCATTAGTTTTGTTTTGCTTTGTTTCCTCAATGAGTTTATTGGTACATTTTAAGTATACAGTACAGTTACATTCATCATTGGGATCTTGTACCTTTACATGACAGGTCTTGGTTCTCATTTTTTCTCCTTGTCCCTGCCCTCCCTTCACCACTCCTCCCTTCCCCCTTTACAAACACTTCATTTTCATTTTCTCATTTTACATTTTTTCTTTGTCCCTGCCCTCCCTTCACCACTCCTCCCTTCCCCCTTTACAAACACTTCATTTTCATTTTCTCATTTTTTTTTGCAAGGCAGGTGGACATCCATTAGTTTTGAATATCACATGTCTTCGAGGTAATAAAGAATTTTTGAAGGTGATCATCATTATACCTCTGAATAATGGAGCAGACTTTCAGCAAGATGATAAATTCTGGGAATAATCATTTTTAATAGTCATATTCTTAAATTTGAGGAAACACTAGAATATTTTGAAAGTGTATCTTCTAAAATTTTAATGTTGACAATTTGATAACTAGTTTTGGAATTCAGTTGTGCTGCAGATAATCTTTAGAGAAAAGATACTGCTTTCCCCAGTACTTGAGATTGAACCGAAGACTTTTACAATGAGGTACATCCCCAGCATCCTACCCCTGTAATTTTAATTTTGAGACAGGGTCTTGCTAAGTCACTAATTGCCCACTCTGGGCTTGAACTTTTCATATTCTTGCCTCAGCCTCCCATAGTGCTGGGATCACAGGCGTGTACCACCATGCCTAGCTATATTGTCTGCTTTTTATGGAATACATATTTTTAGCTGAGGCTTTAAGAGGTATGGTGCCTGACTGAAACTTAAGATATGAGGAGGGGTGAAGGGGAGCGGGGACAAGGGGAAAAATGAAAACCAAGACCTGTCATGTAGAGGTACAAGATCCTAACAATGAATGTAACTACTGTATCCCTAAAATGTACCCAATAAACTCAAATAAAAAGCAAAAAAAAAAAAAAGATATGAGTGAACTTATCTTTGGGTCCTTTTCCCTGGTGCAGGAATTCTTAATGCTCCTCTCATTTAAATGCTCCTCACATTTACTCATTGAGAAAATAGCCACCTGTACTATGTATTTCTTCATCTCTCCTGGTTGGATTTACATCATGATTTAGAGGAAATTTGAGCAGGATGTCATCAGGGATGACACTAAAGAGTGAAGAAGTGGCACATCTGCTCTGTTCTGTTCCTGATTACAGACACCAAAGAAATATCCCATTTATCCTTGAGGATAGAAATGCGTGGCTCAACTGATAACAAGCATGGAGCCAAGTGGGAAAGAAAATAATTTTTCTCTTGTAGTTTAGGTATCCCATATCCATCTAGAGAAAATTGCTCTTTGAATAATCCTAGACTTAGGAAAGAGTTACTACCCATTCCTTTACCAGACTTCTTTAGGGCTTGAAGGTCATCTGGGAAAACTGTACTTTAAAAAATGTCTTTAACTTGTTTAGGGGCTCCAGACATGAGTTCTCCAGCTGTCATATTCTTGAGTATGACCTATTTAAGAGATTAATATGCTTTCCTCCTTGATGAATTAACACACAAACTGGCTCAAAGGAATTTGAGGAATTTTTTTCTAACACGAAAAAGTTGTGTTCACTTGCCATAGGTATAATGAAAGTATAAAGTTAGCTTTCATTCCTTTGTGTCCAAAATAAAGATTTATTTCCTAATTAAACCATATCCTATAGGAAGAGAGTTTTTCCCATTGCAAAAGTTGGTGATCAAAACTATCCAATAATTTCATAAATGATCAATATCATAATCTTTTTGTATATATATATGTACTAAAGAGCTGTGTGTATACTTCACTTCTTTAAATAGTAGATTGTGGATATTTATTGAACAGATCTTGTCTGCTACCTTAGATCAGAGACTTTTAAGAAAGAAATTTTCAAAGACACTTGAATCATTGGAACCTCAGTAACTCACATGATTTTTTTCTTTTTGGATTTTTGAGACAGTTTCTCACTATGTAGTTGAGACTGACCTTGAACTCAATATGTAGCCCAAGCTGGTCTCGAACTCACAAGAGATCTTCCTGCCTCAGCCTCCCAAGTGCTGGGTTTAAAGGCATGCACCACCATGCCCAGCTTCACATGATTTTATTTATTACTAAACATACTAAAGTTAAAATTACAAGAACACCCCAAACAAGGACATTGCTGATTTGTTCAAGAAAATGTGATTATTCTCCTTAAACTAGATGTATAGATCAAACCAAGAGAAATCAGAGGTTGTACTCATTTGAGACTCAGTACAATCTCAGATTAAAAAAAAGTATAATTTACAGATTGAGAAGGATTAGTTTTTAGTGCAAATGAAGTTACAAGTCAAAAGGAATTTTTTAGAGTTTGGTGACTACTTTACCAAAGCAATATCTTTAGACTACAAATTTGAAGATATGTCTGAATTCACAAGTCTTACCTGCTAGTTAGCATAGCATAGCTTGATGATAAACTAAGCTAAAATCAAATAAGTTAATTTGGAAAATTTGGAGCAAGATAAGTATCAAAATGAGTATGAAGTCTCTGGCTAGGACATTAAACTTTGAGCTATATTTGGATTTATGAAACTCTAAAAGTATAGTCTTCATTAAATATTCTCATTGAAGTTGAGAGTTACATATTATTCTTGTTGCAAATCAGGACTCAGGAGTTTGGTGTGCTCTGCTGAAATGTTTTGAACAATTATTAAAAGCAAGGGTTCTCATTAATTTGATTTACAATGATCAGTGAATAGAACTAAGCTGAAAATTTGTTGAGCTTTGCATAAATACAGTCTCTTTGGATTGATTTTGTATTACTGATGAATATCCATAATTTTGAATTGTGAGGAGGTGCTTCCTTGCCATTCTTACAAAACAATGTGTTCTGCAAAATATGAAACTGATTAAATCAGTTCATTATTTAAAGAAAGGTAGACACCCCAAAGCTTATGCATCCTCAAAACTCACTCCTAGTGATGATGTTTGCAGAACACATACGTATTCAATGCTATTGAGCTATAAATATAAAAATTGTTAAAATAGTAAATTTTAAATAATGGATCTTTTACCACAATAAAAACAATAACTTCCACTGTAATGTATTCAGCAAATGGCCCCAGAAAAAAATTTTGGCATCGATGATGTATAATTTTGAGAGTAAAAAGAAATGTACGTCATTGGCATATTCAGGTTGGTATAATGATGGCTAAGAAACATATTGTATGACAATATTGTAACATGAAAATAATATATAATAGTAGCAATAAGAAAAATTATGTAATGAGGAACACGGGATATTTTTAGGACAGTGAAAGGACTAAAAGAGCAAAATGATGTGAAAGTTAATGAGGGGTAGAGGGCAGTCAAATAGAAGCCAAGGGTGCTTCCATGGCCATGTGCCACACAGATCCCCACAGGAGTAAAAAAAAAAAATCAAGGTGATTTCCAAATGAAACAGTAGCTAAAAATGGCAACTGAAGTTTATGTGAGCAGAACAGGTTCAGACATAAAATAGTTGGAAGATGATTAACAAAAATCAGTGAATCATTGCAATGAAATTGTTTGAAAATAAATGCCTATTGATTTTCATTGTGGTAGGTGAAGCCTGTAGCTTTCAAATTTCATATCCAGGTTAGTGAGGAATGAAAAATCCAGTCATATTCTATAATACATCTTTAAAGTGATTGTTATCCATTAACCATTCTGTCACTTAGATACAACTCATGTTCTAAAAACACCTGTATTTCACACAGTATTACTACCATTTATATAAAATAAAAAAAACCACCAAAACCAATACATATCATTAATGGAAATATATGATGTGTGATAAAAATATATGGTGAATGTTTAAATTTTAAAATTATTACAATAAAAACACATTGCATTAATTCCCCTCAAAATATTCCCCCTCACTTCAAACATATATATTGTCAATCTGCCACTTTCTGAAGAAGTTCTGGAAGTCCTCTTTCATGTGTCTCTATGAGGTATGATAAAAATATTGTAAATGCTGCTACTGTGAGTCATCCAAAAAAAAAAAGGCTCATAAAAACATTACTGTGTCCTTATCCACTTTATTCACTAGATCTGGTACTATGTGACTTCTTGGTCTTATCCAAAGTCAAAGTGACCACGAAAGGTAAATGCTTTGAATGGATTCAGGTCATAGAGGAAATATACATCTCTATCTCTGTCTGTCATTT